AGAATTTATAGAGTTTGATGCAGTTCTTAAGACTAATCTTCTTTACTTTGAAGAAAGGATGTTAAAAAAAAATGTGGAATAAGACTTCTTTTTAGTGCTCTTACTAAACTTCACTAAACTTTAACTTGAATATTTTAATCTTCTCATCCTTGCTTAAAGTGTTTTCTCCGCCTACAGTTCAATTTTAAAAGTATTCTTATTACATCCTCACACAAAGTCTTTAAAAAGAGTTTCGTAGAACTTGTTATATATTTCTTTCGATTTGGAATTTGTCCAGCCATATCTAAATTACATTGGCGCATTGCTATATTACGCTAGATCACCATTTATCGTTGTTTATTAGTAAGAATTTGCACCATGGCTTCCAAAAGATCAAAGATCGATATTTCCGTACGAAAAGTTGCAGTAAAATTGCACTGTCTACTAAATTTACAGAATCTACAGACCGATAATAGAATAAAAATCATGGAAGATGACAAGAATCACCAGACCTTAACCCCACACAAAAAGAATCGAATAGGAAGATCGCAACTTTACGTTTAATTTTAGTTCCTATCAAATTTTTACAAGGCCACCCAGATAACTGAAATCTTCATACTTCTAAGGAAGTTAAACATAACTCTAAAGGCTTCATCCTATACAACGCTGAAATAACTGTGGAAATTTTTCCCATTTCCCAAAAAGTTTTCTATCTGTACATAAAGTTACCAATGGATATGAAACTGTTTACATATAACAGAAAAGTTTAAAGTGAACGAATAACTGTTATATCAAAACTAATTGAAAATTTTAATTCATTCAAGTTTCATTCAAGCCCTGATGAAGATCGTCTTATACGTTATGTTCGACAATCATGGCAGATAATAAACAAAAAACGTTTCTTGACGGTAATACTGCTTGATCAGCTCGCCCGTCAGATCTAACGTCGCTGGATTGTTTCCATTAAGGAGCATTAAAAAATGAAGTTTATCACCAGTCACCGATGACGGTCAAAGATATGCGTGAGCGTATTATTTATGCGTATGCTGCAATAACTGCAAAAACGTTTGAAAAAGTTTCTCGTTCACTCATTACCCAATTACGCAATAGCTGTGATCGCAACGATCAATGCTTCGTACCATGCTCGAAATGAAATTTATTTTGATATTTCAGTAATTACATATCAATTCAAAACCCTTTATGGTATAATCTTTTATGCAAAATTTGATAGTTCATTCATAATTCGGGGAAAAAGTAGATATCAGAGGCTTAATTTTTAAAACTGAGGGTTTCGTGTTCCGATGAAGAAACAATCTAATGAAAAATGAATTAGATTACTGTACGTACTCCGAGTGAAACCTTTCACTAAAACGATTGTAAGTATTATTTTTATTTTATTCTATGGCCAAATTCTGTACGAGAAATTACAATTAAAATCAATGGATTGAAATATAGGGGAAAGGTAGAGTAAAGGGGAACCGATGTGGATGACACTGAATTGGTTCTCGATTTCAAATCTGACAGAATAGCGTACACGTGGTAAATAAAGCAAACACAATGAAATGCTCGTTACAATGAAATGGCTCGCGTAGCAATTCGCTCACCGATTCAAGGTGAGTCGTTGTACGCAGTTCAAGATCGTTTTTATGTAACGTGCCACGTAATACCTGTCCATTTCATGAAACACGAGAATAAAAGGATAAGGGTGTAATTAACCTATCACTGACCGTCGACGAAACACTTGATTTTCTTTCAAATCGTTTCGTAATTGAATTCCGGGAAGATTGGCGAATCTTTTATACATACATAGTACTATAAACCGAAGAAAATATTTCAATGTGTTAAGAACTTTTGGGCAAGCTTGTATGTAGAACATACAGGGTGTACAACCGATGAGAGAGCGAACCGTATGTCGCAACTCGACTTTTCTCGCGAAAAATAGTAAAAAAGTATTATCGTTATTTAATTACGTAATTTTTACATTTCCTATAAAGCGTATAATAACGTTACCATTTGTTTGTTCACTGACGTACATTGATAGTGCAATCAAGATGAAAAATAAATGTTTCGATACGTTTCATAATCCTGATGAGTAATACATGACATAAAAATGTGTTAGATCTGTTGCAATCCTCGACATATGTAGCAATAATAATAATAATTTAACAAAAATGCTCGATAGGGTTAATATCTGGTGATTGCGGGGGATTTTCAGATTTTTACTGTATGTTGAAGCAATTGAACAGTGTTCAGTGTTCGTTGTTCGCGAGTTGTTCGTGAACAGCAGTGTGGATCCAACATTAACAGCATAATTTTCTTATCGCGTGTCACGCTTATATCCAATTCCTCGTTTAAATAGTTTTTTTACTAAATATCGCGACTTGCGTAATATAAAGTGACAATAAGATGCAATTGCATATTTTGCAAGAATTTATTGCATATTCCATTGCCGCTCGTCGTATTTGGTAATCGATATCTGCAAAATCTCGATAGATTTTTTAGATAGGGGTTTCCCAGATTGTCGACGGAGTGATTCGCGTTTTAATAGTAAAATTTTTTATTCAAATTACTGAGAATCAATAGCACAAAGTGAATCATAATTCTCTCGTCGTTGTTTCCAACTAAAAACAATAAATGACAGCTTACAAAAAACGCATAAATTAAGTATAATAACTTCGAGAAAAGAATAACTTTTTAAAACAAGAATATATATTTTCGAATATGAAAAATGTGTATTTTTAAATAACAAATAATATATATGTGATTTGTTTTTAAACAAATTCAAAACGTACTACATCAATCTATTATTATTATAATAGATTCTCCAAAGACAGTTTAAATCTGATAAGAATTCAAAATAGTACGCGTACAAGTATAGTAACGGAGACAGAAGACATGATTTTTTGTAATTTGTCGGAGTAGAAGAACACTGTACCTGAGTACTGTAACCTGTTAATAACATTGTAGGAGTGAACTTTGTTTATCAAGGTCCAGAGAATATGTAATCGTTCAAAACTAATCGGCACAATTAAATGCAAATCGTCTGAAATGTAATACGTGTATTTCATAACAGTGCATAATTTTAATTAATGCCTGGAACCGGTTCAACGTAAATACACGTGTACAACAATATATTGAAAATGTAGATACCAGCGTGTTCGATGATACTGACTGTGGACGGTTTCAAACTGGATACGCCAAATATGGCATAATTTGGACTGCATTTATTTTATTACCACGATAAAAAGCTGTGCTGATAAAAACCAAAGAATTGTGCTGTTACACATCGACCATATAAAATTGCATTAGTGTAATATGCATGAATGAGCAATAGTCCTTGACACTTAGGATTTATCGGGTAACTGGTGACTCAGTATCAAGAAAATTAGTCATACGGTAGACAAAATATTATTTTCGAACTAATTCCAATTCATAAACAGTGGATATTAATTGACATAACTGATATTTTTGGGTAACGAGCAAGGGTGAATTATTACCAATTAGACATGCATTAACGCGAGATAAGTCCTGAATTTAAAATAAGAGCCAGACCCTCGGAACTGTATTAATTTATTCATTTAACACCAAATAACAGTAAGTAACATTATCAAATTACTTTCTCATACGAGGACAACAGAAATATGCAAATTATCGAATACAAAAATGTATTGTAAAAAACTTTTTTTTATTAAAATAAATGTTATTTAATTTTTGAAAATAACATATTCTAACAATGAAATATTTGTAAGTCAACAGTATTCAATGTCCAAATGATGAAAACGACTTGCAGTTAGGTTAATCATCAATACCTTTCGCAATATCATTGACAGCATTTATCTTAATAATTATGCGCGTCAAGCGTAATATTTATAAGACTTTAATTGCTCCATTTCACGGAATAAACCATCTCTCTTAAGGAAACCGTGTTTTTTAAAGACATTCCGTGCAATTGTTATCAGCATCAGTGTTCTTTGCACTAAAAACTTCCACTGCCATTAATCCATTATCAGTTACTTCAATTCGATTGACTTTTGCCTCGTACATAAGGGTATCAAATAGAAAATATAATATTTTATTTACAACTGATGCAATTTATTAAAGCAAACCAAAGATTATTATTATTTTATTAAAACACGCGAACGGAAAGTCAGGCAAAAATGGCGTGTCTAAAACTACTATTCGATACATGCAATTTTATCGTACAACGAACCGTGCCATATAGGATAATATCCCAAAAAAATTTACTTTCTGAATCCGTAAAATTCGTAATTAATGGTTTACTAAGTAACTTTATCGTAGAGTAGATTATCCGTACAGTAAATTATATGTATACATAACCTCTCAAACATTTAATTTCCTTATCTGCAAATTCCGTATGCGATTCGTTCTACTATGCAAAATTCAGACTCCATTATTGTAACTTTATCGGACAACGAACTGTATAATTTACTGTAACCTCTAAATAATTTCATTCCCTTATCTATAAATTCTATATGCATAATTCATTATCATACTATGTGAAATTATGACTCTATTATGTAATTTAATCGTACAACGGACCGTACGAAATTTATTTACTTAATCTGTGAAGTCCGTATTCTTGATTCGTTGTAAAACTGCTCAATGTCTTTGTTATGTAGCTTAATCGTACAATGAACTATCAAAACTTACCTGAAAATTTCTTATGCACGATACGTTATAATACTACGAAAAATTATCCACGTTATAATGGTACTCAAAATCAGGACTCATACACTGAATCAGTGGCGAAAAAATTCCGTTTCAACCAATTTCTTTGTTCGTTGACTGATCATTCTACATGCGTATACAATTTCTCAAGATGGAATTCTCGAATTTCCGAAGAGTCGACATTTTTTTGATAGGCCCCCTCTTCCTCTCGAGCTTTTTTAAATTCGTCACTGGGATAGACAGTACCGTGTGGCATAGCCTTTGAAACATGTAAATGCAAGTGGGTATGCTCGAAACCACCGAGTAATAAAATACTCAAAACCTGGTTACAGACACGTTATCTCGAGAAACGCCAAAGGAGCCTGAGGCTCGTCGCAACTGAGGTCAGGAACAAAAAAGACAACGGAGGCAGATGTACAGAGAAGATCATCCATCGCTGTGTCGGAAGAGGGAATAGATCAACGGCAAGATGCTGTCGAGTTTCTCGTCTGGAAGAATATTAGGCGTCAACGTGACGGGTGCGTAAACGACCACAGCCAATGGACGGCCGATAAACGCGAGGAAGACGACTCCAAGAACGCTTGACCTGGAACAACAGTCTAGCCGCGATTATCCGCGGAGGATGTTCGAGGATCAAAGACATGCGAGTTGAAACGATCGAAGATTCTACCTATCGAAGCACGGCCCCTTCGGAATCCCAGATAAAACAGATATCGTCGACGATCGTCTGCGAAAGTGACGACCAATGAATCCGCTCGACGCTAGCTGACCCAGTTTAGAGGCTACACAGGAACTGTAAGCGGTCGGACGATAAGAGGACGCGCAGATAACGCTTAATTTACGCGACGTCTCGGCAAAGAGAGAAAGAGGAAACGAAACAAGTAGAAATCAAGCGAAAACTGAGATCTTTAGGTCGGACAGTTCACTGGGTCGAAATGTATCCGCGAGTGGTGCTGGTGAGCCTTCCGCAGGCGTCGAGCATCGACATCGAGTTCTCCAATATTAGCTACGAGGCCCGCGAAGGGTTTCTAAGTCCTCCCAAGAAGATCCTCAAAGGAATCAGCGGTACGTTCAAGGCCGGAGAGCTGACGGCCATCATGGGCCCTTCCGGCGCTGGTAAATCGACGCTGCTGAACATTCTGACGGGTTTCGAGCGCGACAAGTGGAACGGCGCGATCGATTACATCGGCAAGGAGGGTAAGCACACCTGGAAGGAGTACAGGAAACAATCGTGTTACATTCAGCAGGACGACAAGCTGCATCCCCTGTTCACCGTACTGGAAGCGATGAGGATGGCGGTCTGTCTGAAGATCGGCAGCAGTCTGAGTCGAAAGGCCCAGGAGATGCTGATCGACGACGTTCTGGACAATTTGGATCTCAGCAAGACGAAGGAGACCAAGTGCAGCCAGCTGAGCGGGGGCCAGAGGAAGAGGCTCAGCATCGCGCTGGAGCTGGTGGACAACCCGCCGGTAATGTTCCTGGACGAGCCAACCACCGGTCTCGATTCCCAGTCCTCCTATCAGTGCATCAGGTTATTGCACAGCCTGGCCAAGGCGGGCAGAACCATCGTATGCACGATCCATCAGCCCAGCGCGGCTGTCTACGAAATGTTCGACAACGTTTACTTCCTGGCGGAGGGCAGGTGCATGTACGACGGCGCGACCAAGAACACGATCAGCTATTTGGCTAAAATCGGGCTACAGTGCCCCAAGTACCACAATCCGGCCGACTACATACTGGAAGTGATCAGCAAGGAGTACGGAGACTACAACGACCAGCTGTTCAAGCTGGCGAACAGCAACGAGCGATCCTGGCGATCGAACACGTCGCAGACCCTGAAGAAAAAGACTGTCGCCAACTGCAAAAACGAGAGCAAGGCGACGGTGCTGATCAAGCCTCCGTCGGAGATGGAGCGGTTCTTCGTGCTGATGCATCGTTGCATGGTCCAACTCTTCAGGGACTGGACGGTCACCCATTTGAAGCTGTTGCTTCATCTCGTGGTTGGTATCCTGCTGGGCGTGTTGTACACAGACGCTGGCAAGGACGGCGGCAAGACTATCAGTAACGTTGGGTTCTTCGTGGTTACCTCCGTTTACCTGTGCTACACGAGCATGATGCCAGCCGTGCTCAAGTTCCCTTCGGAGTTCTCGACGCTGAAGAAGGAGAGGTTCAACAACTGGTACCAGCTGAGGACGTACTACGCAGCGTCCGTCATTTGCAGCGTACCTATGCAGATGTTGTACGCGATCGTCTACAGTTCACCTTCTTACTTCCTGAGCGATCAACCCGCGGACACCAACAGGTTCCTCATGTTTCTGGCCGTGGCGATCCTGACCACTCTGATAGCGGAAAGTTTCGGCATTCTGATAGGGACTCTGCTCAATCCTGTCAATGGAACCTTCATGGCGTCCATCATCACGTGTGCTATGTTGGTTCTGACCGGGTTCCTGGCCCTGTACAGCCATATACCGATTATACTCTATTATGCCAGCTATCTGAGCTATTTGAAGTACTCGGTGCACGCGTTCGTGCACACGATATACGGATTCAACCGCGAAAAGATGCCCTGCTCGAAGAGCTACTGCCACTACAGGATGCCAGAAATGATCATGACAGACCTGTCCATGATGGATGGCAAATATTGGATAGACATCGTTCTACTGTTGTGCAACTACGTGTTCTTCAGGTTCGCAGCGTACTGCACACTCAAGAAGAAGCTCTCCTCGGCCTGAGAGGCCATTGGTCGCTGTTCGTAGACAGAAAATTTAAACGCTGTCGTCATGAAGGCAGTGAGGTGATTTCGCGTGTGGTTACGACAATTGTTACGAAATGCCAACGTGGTTTAGGAAAAAAGTATCGTGTGATCGTGCTAATAACAAGCCCTATCGATGGAAATGCTAATTCCCATGAAAGCAACTTCCTGTCATTGTTCTGTGAACGAGTACTCATTTATTATTCGCTGTTTTGTACTTGATACGAATCTCTATTAAAACGGTTCCCAATAAACGTGCAGTGTCTTCTCCCGTTTTCACGAACATTTTAAAGTATGAACATTTTTTGAGGGGATACGAAATTGTTGGACAACGTCAGGAATATCAACATGGTTAAAGGTTAAATGCGATTTCGCAGAATTCGCTATGCAGTTCCCTAATCGTATGTTGCGAACGTTGAACTCGCGCATTGCACATCGTGTCACTGTAAATGAGAGAGAAAAAGGTAAATTCGATGAACGTTCGTCGAAGTACGCTGCTCAAAACAGTTGGGGATCGCTAAATTTAAATGACTATCTGGAATCGATAATCGATTTTCAGGCAATGTTACTGCACACGTTCGAGACTAATTAATTAAAATTCGATGATCTATAAGGTGACTAAAACGTCTGAGCGTTCGGTATTTATTTTACTCACTGTACATTTTTATCGCATGGAAGGAAGCTAGTAATTTACATTTTATATACACTGTCACAGAAGTCGTGTAATACTATGTAAGAAATTAAAGTGATATGGCTGGGATATTTTTTGTACAATTTTTTGTGACATTCTATTTTTTATTTACTATTGTATTTTAATATACAGGATATTAGGGATTATTTATCAAACAATTTGGTTTCGAACAAGTACAGATTAAGACGAAGGCTTGGCCTCGGATCTCACGTTTCAAGGAGCCTCCTTTTACCAAATTTAATTTTTTTTAAACAAAATGAATTTTGGAAATGATATATTTTCAATTAAATAGAAATAACAGCCTCACATCTTACCAAATAATTGCAAAGTGACTTTTTAAATTACAAATTGAAAATAAATATGTTCGGATAGGTATGAATGAGATTAAGCGTGAATTTTTGAAAAATAGTACAAACTTACTCGAATAAATTGTAACTGTTCAACTGGATGATGAGTTTTTGCGTGCTTACTTTGACAATAATGTAATATTAAATAAAAATTACTTCGGTTTAAAAAATATGTTTAAAAATATTCTTGTAATTACATTAAAGAAATACAATAAGGCTGCGTTTTTTATGTACAGGATTTGTCTTTTTGTTACCTTCGATGTTTATCAATATTTTAATTTTATTCTTACCCCATAAAATTGTGTACAAAAAAGATTTTGAAAAATATTTAATTAATTATACTGTAGCATAATCATGCTTTTTGTATATATCAATTTTGAGAAACATGGACATGAGGATATAGCACCATCGCTATAACCGAGAATGATAATTCTATTAAATTTTAACATAATTGAGTTCGATTGTAAAATACAAACATGTTCTAATTATAAGAATTCCATTTGGTTATGTTAATTAACCAATTGCTTTTAAAACAGAAAACTATATAATTGTACTTTGTTAATAAATAAACAAAATTTTTCAATATAATCGAACATGCTTATGTTACAATTTAATATATCATGAAAATAATTTTAACTTCGTCAAGTTTTAGTCATGCAGCACACTTTGAGAACCAACAAAAGAAGCTTGGAAGTTCAACTCAGTTGAAATATTTTGTATTTATAACATATTTATCATTTTTCATTACGCTTTAACGAATGTAATGAAAAAAACAGTGTTTATTAGATCGAGCATTTGCAATGAGATAATAATACCTAAAGACCAAATAACAAGGACTATTTAACTATTAATTTATTATTAAATAGTATTTAAAAAATCCTAAAAGGTCCCGAGAGTATCATATGTGATTTTTAGGCATTGTTTTAGAAACCAATTTAACATAAAAATATGAAACTATTTATATTAAATTAAATTGTGTTAAATATAAATTACATTTTCATTTGATATATTAAAAAATAGAAAAATTTAATTTTACTGCATTTGTTAAAAGTTTTCATTTATTAAACGGAAATGTGAAGATTGAGAAACACTGACCTCTAAGGTATTATCAAAGATATTTTTCTGCGCATAATATTGCAACTCGTGTAGGTGGACTTTTTGTGCCCAACTGTACGGATTTAAGTTCTACTGATCACACACGACGAGACTTTTCTTTGAGCATCTTGACAGAATCGTTTGAAGCAATTGCCTGAGTTAGATGAAAAGTGCAAGTTAGGCATTCTCCTGTTACAACTACACCAACTGTTCTGAACAGCGTCCGATCATCGACTGTGCCGTATTCAATGGACGAAAAATAAAGAAACCACTGAAACCCCGTAGCTTCCTGAAAACGTTGAAAATCTGTATTACAATCATCCATCGGTCGACGACATTTGCGGAGCTATTACAGCTGAATGATTAAAAGGTAACCAACAAATACAGCCCTGTTCCGCTGTACTTGCACGACACAATTGAAGGTATACATCTTATCGACTAAACGTATCTACACTATGTATATGTTCGTATCTACGCAATAAGTAGGCGGCGGAATAACGAAATTATAACTGAGACGCACCTAAAGGAAAAAAGAAAGAAAAAAAAAAAAGAAAAACAGAAGAACAAACACAAAAGTAAAATGAGCGACAAAACGTAAGACGTGGTGTGCTTTTTTTTTTCATGTATCGTCTAATACTGAGGTGGGGTTGGGTGGGGGGGGGGGGGCGTACAATGTACAAAACGGGAAAGCTCGAGTGAGAAAGAAAAAAAAAAAACTGCAAACTGAAAAGACGACGAGGAACGAAAGATCCCGTTGGCGTATCGAAAAGCGTGAGAAAAAAGAGCGACCGGAGATCATCAGGCACCGTGATTATGGAAAAAATGGCACATTTATTATATTATTAGTGATAATAATATTACTACCGATAATTATACATTTTTTTTTTTCTTTCTCAAACGAAACGCTCTCGACACACTCTCTCACTCTCTCGTGCACTCACACTCTCTCTCTCTCTCTCTCTCTCTCTCTCTCTCTCTCTCTCTCTCTCTTTTCTCAGTGTATGCATAATAATTCAGCTCGTGCTTCGTCGATGTTGATAAACTCGCATGCACATCGAAATCGATCGTTTCATTATCCTTTTAAGGCCCGGGGTGTCACGCGAATCGAGCCACGCCAGGCCTGCGTACGCTTCTCTCGTTTTAATTACATATTATACAACAATGTCGTTTAGATCTAAATGTACACGTGCGATTTCGCTCGTCGACAATCGTGTCCTGGGCAAACGGAAGGTAGTCGTCGGTGTTTCGCACAAATTAATAACGATCCTACGTAGGCGTGCTGCCCACCGAGCTCCGACGAATCGCTCCGCGTAAGCGCTAACACGATCGACAAGAAGAAGACCGCGTCGATTCGAGCCATCGACGCGATCTTCTTCGACGGAATCGACGCTCGCGCGGAGCGAAAAGGCAAACGAAACAAAAAAAGTACGTTTCGAGTGTCTCAAAACGAACGGAAAGTTAACGGTGAACGATTTCGAGAGGCCCCCATCGATACGATCGCGACTCAGACCCACGCATACTCGCGCAAAGAACATGACGAGACCTTTGGCGTTCGCCGATCTTTCGACTCGAGCCGAGCTACGCACACTCTTCAACTTCTCGCCTCTCCACTTTTTGACTATCTAAGACTATCGACAGGTGTGCGCCTAGCTTAGACGGGGCTTACGAGCTATTTATTGTCGTTATTATTTTACATGATTACCATCGCAAATACAAGTGCGTGATCGCGCGCGTACGTGTGTGTGTGTGTATGTGTATGTGTGTAATTTATCTCCCTACGAATCGCCGCTGACCTATCCGTAATAACGTACACCCAATCGCGTCGTCCCTTGTCAGTTTCTGGAGGCAATTCCCGCGATTCCGGTGATCCGTTGATTAAAAGTAAAGCGAGGTTGTGCGAGTTATCTCGACCAAGTTCTGGCCACGAATCCTTTCGTCGCGGCGCACGGGAATTTGTCCAATGGAACCTCGTCGCGCGTCGAGGTTTCCCACCTCCGGTTCCGTTCCCACCAGCGGTCGAAGCAATAAAAAAAAAAAAAAGCAAAGAAACCGACCGAACGCGTTCGATTGTTCGCACGAAGGTACAGAGAGCGAGACGCGAGTCGAAAAATTCATCCTAGTTACAGCTTCCGATATGCTTTTGAAGAAAAATATAGCTGCACGCGTGATATGTGAGGAGATGATAACGTCGCACGGATCGCCCCCGGAGACGGAAACCGGAAAATACGGCACGGAGAAACCGACGAACGGAAAGTGAACGGAAAAAAGAGCGACACGGAGAACAAAGCGTAGAGCAGAAAAGAGGCAGAGTAAACACGGCCACTCGAGACACACGTGGTCGTTTATTTCTTGTTGTTCTTGTTATTATTGTTGGTATTATTTTATTCAATAAAATTTATTTAAGAATCTAAATAAATTAAAATACATGGCAACTGGGTACACATTGAGTTGAGCTATATTTTTGTTCAAAAACAAAAATGTCCCTTTCTTTCTTTCATGAAGGATCTTCTCGGCGATCATTAGTCGGTAATAATAATAATAATTAAAAATAATTAATAATATTAATAATAATTAATAATAATAATAATAATAAAATCATGATCATGACAATAATAATAATCATCGTAATGATGATGACAATAATAATAATAATAATAATAATAATAATAATAATAATAATCGTAATAAAGTAATTGAATAGGCGTACGCCGCTGCTGTATATATACAATTATGCGTGAGATATGTTTGAACTTTTTTCGTGTTCGATGGGTAGGGTGATCCGTATTCTCATTCTCTCTTCGTCTCCTATCGTTCACACCTATATACTGCCTTTTTGCTTAATCCTTGCACTTGTGCTATCTCCCTCTTTCATTCCCGTGGTCCGTATCGTTGAACCATTTAAAAAAAAAAAAAAAAAAGAAAAAAAAAAAGAAAATACGTTTTAAAAAAACAGGATTCCATCGTGCGTCCACCGTTCCAACGCGAACTTCTCTCTCACTCTCTCGATCGGTCACGATCCTTCATCTATTCCTCGTACAACGTAAGTACAGAAAGTTAGCCTGAACGCACTCGTCGCGTGTCCTCGATTCGCGTCGAACGTTCTCGCGGGACAATCGTCCCGTCTCGTATGTACAATTATGTTTAGCCGCCGGTGGCCGAGGAGGATCGGTCGGGCCGCCGCTCCAGGGCTTCGAAGTCGTTGATTTCTACGTATTTACAACCGGCGACGAGCATGCAGAACCCCATGCGCGTAGTTATTCCCGCCGAGAGACGAGAATTCCGGGCCCGGGGGGGACCCTGGGTGCGTCGAGCTCTCGATACGCTCGGAGGAACCTGTAGGGGTGCGCTTTTTTTCGATGCGCGACGGTCCCCGCGCGATCGTCCTCGGCCACTGGCATTTTCTCCAGTCCCTCGTCGTGTCCAGAGTGCTCTCCACCCGACGTGATCGCGCTCTGCGACGCCACGCGTCTCGGTAGCGCGCTCGCTATATGCTGGGCAATTTCAACAAGGTCCGGGGGGAAGGGGTTCAGGGGGATGCGCCGGTTAGCGGGATGGAGATCGAATTCAATATAATCTCGATCGCGCTACGCGCGCTTCTTACGTCTCGAAAGAGAGGAACCATATTCCTTTGTCTTCTCGCTATTTATAAAAATAATTTTAAGCCGCCTTCATGGGGAACTGGGGGGATTGGGTAGATGCCTCTTAAAAGTAACCACGCTCTCGCTCTCACTCTTCCACTCTCATTCTCTATCTCTTTGATGGCTCGCGGTGACATACAGAGCGACCACTATTCCCCTGCTCGTCGTACGCCCGTGTATCTAGAGTCACATTGAAAAAACCGCCAGGACATCGTCAGGGCGTACCCGCGTCTCCCACTTGGATCGTACGACATGCACAAGTTCTGCGCTTCGACAGCGCAGCGTCCCGGAATCGACGTTTGATCCGTCTCCCCGGGAAAGTCGTACCAAGCGTCCTCGTTTCTTCCGTAGAACGTAAATGACCGTTACGTTCGAAGATTATATTCGTGTCACGTGTCGCGTAGTACCCCTAATTTTGGCTCGATTCGTACAACTGGTACGCGGTAGGAGGGTAGTCCTGTCTGTATGCGCGAGTCCCGCGAAAGTCCCGTAACTATTACAATTTTAAGCTGTATCTACCCCTTAACACAGGATCACACCGCCGCTGAGCCGCTGCTACTGTGGCTGTGACGGATTGTGCTGAAGGGAAGGAGGCGGGCCCTGAAACAAACAATTTTCTACGTTAGTGATATTCTCGATATAGTAGAACATAAATCCCCCTACTTAATATTAAATATAACGAATACAATATAACGTAGAATAAGAATCCCCTAAACTGACTATTTTCACATTTGAAATAGCTACCATATAATTCTACCACCAATTGTATAAGCGTTAACCCCAACATGACAGTTCAACTATTCCTTGTAAAAAATTGACACGCGAAAATTGACCTCGAACAATTGGTTGTTTTTCTTTCATAGATGTCTTGTTCATAAAGTTCTACTTACAGGCATCGCGGAGAAGGGTGGCTGAGAATGCGCGTGAGGATGCGGGTGTGGGTGTGCTATGTGCGCAGCAAGATGGCCAGGTAACTTAGGTCCATCCTCTGCTTTTTCTTCCTCTCTCCTCTTCAAACACGCTGCCTTTGGATTGAGGTTTCGTTCTGCAAAGAGACAGAAACTATTTGTCAGAGAACACTCTAGAGAAAAATATCGTGATCGAGCTAGTGAAAAGACACATACCTCTAACTTGCTGTTCTAGCGTCATGATCACTTCGACGGCCATGTTAAGGATACCGAGCTTCGTCTGAGGTTTGTCCGTCTTCAGGTGCGTCATGCACATTCTTCCAAGCTCCTTGAGAGCTTCGTTGATGTCCCTGATACGTATCCTAAAGCAATAAATCTCGATTGAGCACGTCGTTAGTGGAATAAACCTCTGGGAGAACGGGAAGCGAACGCTCGAAGGAAGAAACGTGTTTTAAGCTAGTCGATCCTTCGATGGTTAGTGTATCGACTTTCAATACCGATCCTTCTGCACGAGGTTTCCAACATTTCTCTAACACCGCGACTGATTTCATTAGGATCGAATAACAGGCTGATATTGCTACGATTTTGATAAAACGTGGGAATCCTTTTGCACCAGAGACCTCGAATAGCATCGAACTGCAACCCAGGCCGTGAAGATCCAGATTATCTCGAACATTCTCAACATTCTTCTACATAATAGCACGAGAGTCCGATCGTTTGCAAGATCCGAAATCTCTTTCTTACGTATACACAGAATACGGGCCTAACTCTTCTCGGTTCACTGCACACTTTCGTCGATTTTCTTACCTTTCCCTAGCATTGTTCGCCTGCCGCCTCTCTTTCTCCCTTTGGGCCTTCACGTCGGGATCGTCATCCTCGTCCTCGGCGCTCGAACAACAGTTGCGCAATAACAACACTCGATTAATCACCTGGCATGAGCGATGTCACTGTTTTCGTCCTAGATCGAGCGCGCGAGAACCGACAGCAATGAGACCGTCATCGCCCCCCGATTAATCGCCGATTAAATTTACACGAAGGAAGGGTTTGAAAGTGATTCGACTCGACTGGCAGACCTTTGAAACCGACAGGGTTGCTCGATCGAGATCGCCGCCTCGTTTCTTTCTCGGCGCAATAGCGATCTCTTTGATTGAACACACGCAGAGCTCTCCGATCGGCTTGTGGTTGTGGACAGAAATCGGATTGCCATACTCAAGGGCCCGTATTCTTTGCAACCGCGAGTGAAAAACCAATGACAAAAGAGTGACAAACCGAGATAAAAAATGCGTGTCTAACGCGCGGAACTGGTTTCGTGCTATTACCTAGAAAGTTGAGAGTTCGGGTGACGTCTAGGGAACAGCGTGTCGGTTCTGGATATACCAGGATGTGCTGGATAGGAAGGGGAACCTTCGAACGGTAGCAAATTCTGAAAGAAATCTTCATTATATGTACAGGTGGATCGTTTACGGTATTCGTTGCGACCGCAACGGGGTAAGATCGTGGGATTTTTGACAGTTCAAAAGTACACTGTAAGAATTTGCAATGTTTAACGCGTGACCAGCGAACGTGAAAGCTAAACGTGACGAGTGACAGTGAGAGTAGAATTCTAGAACACGTTCAGCGATGCAGAGCGTAGATATGTGCTTGGTACGTTGTAAACTAAAGGTAGCATGCCTGGTGGAGACCGAATCGCAGCCGAATTAAAATGAGACTGATTGACAGGCGAGCACGAGAACTGTCCAGAATATATTTTTTTTTTTCGTCTGGACTCGTATCAATTTTTGTCCTTAACCAGAAACATTTTAATTGTCACGCCAGAATACGGGCCTCGCAGTAGGGAGAACGCAAGCATGCCAAATAGTCGTTATTATTTAATGTTTCCATGATCGTGTGTTCGTTTCACTGACGCTTTATCGGGCATGCATACGAAAGAATGGACTTAGGATTCAAAGTCCTGGAAGGATCTCGGTGGTCTTGAAAGAGTACAACGGGGAGTGCGTACTGCGTGTGTTCACTAACCTTTCACGCACGTTGTTGGCCTGGCGACGTTCCTTCTCGCGCACCGCTTTGGTGCTGGGATCGTCGCAATCTTCATCAGCGCTCGAACAACGGTTGTTTAAATAGAATCGGTTAGTTCAATACTGTGTGACACACGTGGGCGAGATACTGATCTCTCTTTAGTGTCTCGACGCCGAAAACAATTCTTACGTCTGACGACTATTAGGGCGGTAGTACCATTCAAACATTACCACCTCGAATTTATGATACAATTCATAAGTACACTGCAAAACTTCAAAGAATAAATCTACAATTCTTTAAAATGTTAATATGTATACAACTACATTTAATTTTTAAATAATTCTATAAATTGCAACATTAATGCAATTAAATTATAAAAAATAATGTGAGGATTTGTAACTATGTATCATGATAATAGTATACACAACAACCAAAAGACTGATGGACACCATGCATCAATATTAGTTTAGTACTAATTTGTTGATTGAGGCTGCGTTAAAAAGTTATAGAAATATTTTCGGTAAAGAATTTTTTTCTCGGAAGTACGTAGAATTTCAGGGGTATGTCTATTCACCAAAAATGATTGTAAGTGACCCCCGCAACCGAAAATAATTTTTTTAGAACGATTTGAAATTTTTTAATTTCGCTGAAAAATTGTCCAGCTTCCTGAATTTTTTTCTCGAAAGTGCGTAGGATTTCGGGGATATGCCTATTCACCAAAAATGATTGTAATTAATCCCTCGAACCAAAAATAATTATTTTAGAACGATTTGAAATTTTTTTTTTCACCGAAAAATTTAGGCACCTACTCGAATTTTTTTCTCGAAAGTGCGTCAGATTTCGAGGGTATGTCTATTCACTAAAAATGATTGTAATGGACCCCTGCAACCATAAATAATTTTTTTAGAACGATTTGAAATTTTTTTTTTCACCGAAAAATTAAGGCACCTAGCCCTTATCGATTTTTCTTAGACATTCATATTTCATTTTTAATAAATTTGTTTGACCTCCTACGGAAATTTTGTTTAGTACTTTTTTGTAGGTATCCATGAGCTCTACTTCCATACTAAATTTCATTGAGATACGTTCACTATTGTAGAAATTATGGACGTTTGAAGTTTGGGCCATTTGTATGGGGTTTTTCTCATTTCACGGTGTCAAGGAACAACTTTTTGAATATTCTTGGAATTTGTACATATTCTTCATTAAAATACGCGTTGTTTGCTTTTTTAAACATTAAAATCGTCCAATCCGTTCAGAAGTTATGACGTTTTAAACATTCGCATGAAATTTCAGTGAAACATATCAACGGTATGGTCGGACATTATATTTTCGGTTATGAATTTTTTTCTCGTAAATGCGTAGGAATTCGGGGGTATGTGTATTGACCAAAAATGATCGTAATTGACCCCCGCAACCAAAAGTAATTTTTTTAGAACGATTTGAAATTTTTCAATTTCGCCGAAAAATTTATCCAGTTTCCTGAATTTTTTTCTCGGAAGTGCTTAGGATTTCGGGGGTATGTCTATTCACCAAAAATGATTGTAATTGCCCCCCGCAACAGACTATAATTTTTTCAGAATGATTTGATAATTTTCTAATAACTTTCTAACGAAGCCTCGATCAAGAAATTGAGATTCTTGATTTTCGTTTTATTTTGGCCTCTAGAATCTCCCATTAAAATTTTTCACTTTACACTTAAGTCTGACACTCTAGAAAAGCGTCAACTGCGAATCATCAACACCATGAGTTTGTATAACAAAATAAATTAACAATTAAATTGGGTCAATAATACACTGAGAATTTCCTTCAGTATCCCATAACTCAGAAATTATGATAAACAATCCACGTTCGTTAAAGTATTGCCGTGCATTTACGAATCTAAAAAAAAGAAATTGATTAAATAGAACTCTGGCTCCAAAACGATTAGCTACTTTCGACATATAGTAATACAAGAGTCTCCACACATCCTTGGATCAGTAGTTCCCAACAAAGGACATAATTCTATTTTAGCGTTCGGTGTTGAAACCTTGAACACTTCATCTTCATATTCGAGACGGTAACGTTGCTAGCTGGACTCGACAAAGATTCAAGGGACATTCTTTGATCAACAACTGGACAATAAATTAAATTTTCACAATCGTAGGGGTTCTAATCTGTTCGGTTTCACTACTGTCGTTTCACCCACCGACATGGCCGCGACCTTCGATCGTCGGACAGAAGAATAAACGTCCAGGATATACTTACTATCTGCGGGATCTCTTCGTCCCTTTTCCTTGGGACGTGGAGTTGACCGTGGCTGCGCCAATTACACCCGCCGCCGCCAGATCGCTGCTCGATGGTTTCGTTTCACCGCCGCTGCTGTCCGGCGGGTCCTTTCTCTTTTCTAAAGAGACGTATTCTGTTCATTATTAATACTGTCCTTAAGCGTTCCCATAAAGCATTGACATCGATGCAGCGCCCTGGCAGCGTTCATGGAATAGAGACAAGAGCGTCGCGACAAAAACTCAAGGCGACGCGTACACGTTTCCTCCTATTCACGAACGACAAAACGAAAACGCTTCGTACCGTTTAGGAAATTGATCGACGATCTCTGAGCACGCTCCTCTCGCACCGGAAGCGAGGACGACCTTCGCCGAAAACGGCAATCGCGATTCTCGACATTATCGTTAAGCTTTGGGCAGGCTCCTTAGTCACTAAACCGTGAAAAGCGTCCAATTACGAGCAGGAAGCTCGAACACAACGATCCAAGTCTTTTTAAACGCTCTGACAATTTCGTGCCACGATTCGCGAATGCATTCAGACCTGCACCAGATAAATCAGCACTCGCGATCGTGTGTGTTCACGGGTGAAAGTCCAGCGAACGCTTTTTTACAAATTTTTTTTTTAATAAAAACGAAGAAGTAATTGGATCGAGGATTGCGCGCGTTTGGGCATGGAGAAGCTGTGTGCTCCGGACGGTTCGGGACCGAAACGGGCGTAGCGAATACACGGTCTGAATTCCGATCGCCAGAAATGGCCGGCAATGGAGAAAAGAGCGCTTCTTTGCGAACGACTCTCGGAAAACTTGCGCATTCCATTAGGCGGCCCGCGAGAGAAGGGATTCCGAGCGTTCACCGGGTAAGAGGAACAGAAGCGCGACAGAAACGGGTAGAAAGAAAGAAAGAGACAAAGGCGAGCGGAGACAGAGGTCTTGGGGAATAATAAAGGCACGACAACGATGCAGGATAGGTAGCTACTTCGCGTGATTTATCTAATGCTTCCTTATCGGGCTCGAACTCCGCCGTGGAACACCTGGGAACTCCTTCTCTCGGGGTTTTTTTTTCCTTTGCAGCTAGCGCTGGCTCATGGGAAAAAGTGTTTGTCCGATGATGCGACACTCAGAATAGAATACCACCGTTCGGACTCGACTATCGTCGAACCTCGTCGACTCTTGTCTTTTAATGCCGTCGATGGCGATTGCAGAGTGTTTCGAACTTTTTTGGATGCACACGGTCGGTACTGCGATGGTCCAGAGTCTGATGAATCGTGGATTGACTGCCAAGGAGAGGACCAGAAGAGAATAATATGTTTTCACGAGTCCTACTTCTAGTTCTAGATCTTGATCATTTAAGATAAAATTCCCTTTCTAAGTGTACACGACTTTAACACGTTCACTGCCAAATGAAAACTGTACAATTTTGTCTAACCTTCTAATCTTGCTACAATTCACAGCTCCTACCCTAAATTCATTTCTCTCCGCGTCTTAACTTGGGAATTAATTTTTCCAGTCCCATAGTGGGAAATCCTGTCGTCCATATGTGGATGACGTAGCAGTCAAAGTGTTAACCGAGGATAGATTTTATAATCCTCGAGTTATAAGGTCCTTACCAAATGTGCATTTGGATAATTATTATAAATATTTACAAAAGGATTTGAAGTATTGCTTACATTTCACGACATCGTTTAAGGGTAATAGCATTTTAATTTTTTATAAATCACTTTCTAATCAATACTCTTACAAGACAGTTAATTCGTTCCGAACAAACGAAAATTTAAATTAATATCAATGATATTTATTGATTTATTATTTGACCTAAAATATTTGGTAATTGATTCTGTATGAAGAAAAGTCGAGAACATTTTTTGAAGAAATTGACTTCAAATATTCGCCAAGCATTGCGTACACCCTATGTCTCGACTCAATTAATCTCTCTGTAAATTACTGTCTCGGCTCAGGTTCGTGTTTATTGCACTGAGTAATCAAGAATAAACAAAAACACAAGAGTATTCGAGTACGATAAATTGCATCGTTTCAGAAATTGTTGAAAATATTATTCATTCCGCCGAATATACGACTCTGATCTTTTATCTGCAGGTTTAATTTATCAAATACTAAACTATTCTTTTTTTTAATTGCTGAACATATGGCTTAGTCGAGGAGTGTTAAGTAAACGGAACGTGGTGAACGAGTTATCGTTCCACGGGAAAAGTAGGATAGTACGACCGTCACAAAGCAATTCCTGCGATTATAAACATAAATCTGAGCCGAGACAGTAATTTACTGCGAGATTTGTTAAGTCAGGATATAGCGAAGCATACGCAATAGTGTTGCAATTGAATGTCTCGAATGATATGGTTGCTGTGACACAATAACTCTTCCAGCAAGTTAATGTCACTAGTGTAAATTAGCGTAGGATGATACAACGCGAACGGGGGTTCTATCCAAGCTGTATCGAGCTTTTCTACAAGTATGCGCATTCACGGTGTCTGTAATGGCAGGTCGTAGGCGACTCTTTAAAAATGTAACCGAACTGTCCTTTCCTTCTGTCGGTATCAACAGTCTCCTTTCCAGTCAGTGAAAATGTAAAAACATGTTGAAACAGGTAAAATCGTGAGAAGGGTGTGTAGGGTCAAGGTCAGAAAGAATGAGAATGAAAAAGAAGGGTAGCAATAGAGAATACCAATGAGAGAACCGAGGGTCTAATATGGTCACGGTTGGTTGGAACGTTTATGACCCTAACAGATGGTGTAGCGCTGTGTATTACTCAGACTCTAATTGTCGACTATTTTGATCCAACGTGTTCCTAACCAGTCACTAAACTGATGGCTAGTTTTTAAAGAAAGTTAATAAGTTTTGACTCTCAAGAACAGTAATAGGACTCGTAAAAATTCTAGTCTTCTCCTCGATTCAGGTATTTGTTAATGCGTTCGACAGTCTAGTCGTCTATTCCACGAACCTCTCAAGAACCGCCGAGAGTGTAGAAAAGGATCGCTTTAAAACTTACTGGCATTTGTCACGGGTAACCTTTCGATTTTAATGGAACCGTCCGTGTCGGGCGTTGGCGTAAGACCAGGGTAGGAGCCTTGAGGTTGTGCCACTGTTACCGCAGGATGTGGACTCGTCTGCAACGAAGTAACCATCGTGTAAAGATTTCCTCCACGTATAGATAAAAGAACAACAGATTTTAGGACTTACCAAGTGGTCCAATTGCGGTGGTGATGTGTGGGAGTAGAGGGAACCGTGTGGACCAACGGGACCAATATGAAGGCCCAGCTGGCTCTCCGCGTGGTTTCTCAGAACGTTTATGGCATCGTCCAGTCGTTCCTCCATCCGCGTTCCCTGTACCAACAGAATACCCGATTTTCGACTCGATTACACGTCTGTTCGACCAATCGTTCGCAGAAGCACCAGCGTCAAAGATTCATCGCGGATGGACGTGAACTCCGAAGGCAATATATCAAGAACGCTGTCGGTGTATCTTTGGCGCTGGTTCAAATATATTTTCAAGGCGACGGAGAAGCATATACAAAGACAGAGGATCGATTGTATGAAGTATTTGTGTTTAAAAGTGGGGCAAAAACAGAAAGTAAAAAAAGGTGATGGGAATTCGGCATGCCGTTGATCCTCCGACTGCAGTTTGCTTTTGAGGTTGCTCCTGCAGTTTAAGGATCAACCGAAGTCGCGGTGGTAATTAGTCAGCGAGGGATTAACGATGGATCAGGAGGATGAAAACAGGTGTGTCGCGGGTTAATCTCGCTGAAAAACTTTGCAGTAGTTAGTAGACAGTGGATTGTTTCGCAAGTTAGCCGTGTCGAATGATAAGTCATGCGGCATAGTGTGGTGTGTTACGAATGAGTGGGTGGCGGGGATAGAAACAAGAACAAACGGAGAAGAGACGGAAGAAAAAAAACTGAAAATCGGCAATCCTCACCTCGGCGTGGTCGCGAAGAAAGCCGATGGCATCGTCTAGCCTCTGCTGTTCAGGCGCCGGCTTCACACACAACACCAACGCAACAACAAAACCAAAAAAAAAAAGAGAGAACAACCAAGTCAACACAACGTTCACAACAAACAAGGAGTAAATGGTGAACAAAAGATTTCTTTATAAAATAAAAAAAAAAAAAAAATAATGTAAAAACGACAAATGAAGAGATGATCGACTTGATTATGAACTGAACAGGGGGGGGGAGGACGAGTAGAATGGTTTGCAACGTGGATAGCATACAAGGGGTGATTTTTCGGTGCATCGAGTGCATGCTACTTTGTGCGACTTCCAGGTACACTCGCGGACAGAGCCGGTCGTTGACAGAGTTACGAGCCATCCGTAAAAATCTATCTTTCGACTGCGAACGATTCCTATTTCGAGTCCAAGAGCGCAACGATGGACGATGCGTTCTTCTTTCTCGTAAACGGGAGTCTGCGATCACACGTGGCTCGTCGCCTTTGTTCTTTCGACGTCAACGACCGGTCTCTCTCGATCCTCGAATAGAAATAAAGTCAGTGCGTGTAACGAGTACTTCCAACGATTCACCTTAGTGCGTACGATAAAATATCGCGGAGTGATGTGTACGAGCACAAGAGGTTTCTGTTACGAACGTCCTTGACCTGTTTCTAAAGCGCACCGAAACGGCGATGAAGCGTGTCTGCGTTCGAAGATGCACCCGTCACTTTCCAACGAGATACTCGACAAAATCTAGTTCAACGTTATTAAACACTCGTGGTTCCTCGAAGCGACTCGTACGTCTCGTTAGAAGTGTCAGGGTCAACAATGATATATAAATATGTATATAGACTAAATTAAAAAAAAAAATAAAAATAAAAATTGCCATAATTGCGAGGCATGGATGCATACCATGTGAATGGTGCCACGATTGGGATCTGCCGTGAAGTGCGGAGACACTGGCGCAGCACCTGCTGCCCAGCCTGGCGCCGAACCCGTCAAAGGCGGCGGTGAACTGACTGGTGTGGATGGGTTGCTGCTATAACTCGATACTGATTGGTCCGTGGGATAGATCTGTAAGATCGAAAACACTTATAGTTAGACAAATGATTAAAACACCGAAGAAGAATTACTCCCTAACATCCGGCATATATCCAACGTACACGACAAAATGAAAAATAACGTGATCGAAAAAACGTCGTGAGTAAATTGCTGTACGTTGGTTTCATTCATCGTTTATTCACAGACGAGGTACACGAGTAGACCTTTCACCTTGTGGACTTTCGTGAATCAATCCTGTCATATCGATCGAAATTGATAAATTTCAAATCGTTCTAAAAGAAATATTTTTCGTTTTGGGGGTCAATTACAATCATTTTTGGTGAAGAGACATACCCTCGAAATCTTACGCATTTCCGAGAAAAAAATTCAGGAAGCTGAACAAATTTTTCGGCAAAATTAAAAAATTTCGAATCGTTCTAGAAAAATTATTTTTGGTTTCGAGGGTCAATTACAATCATTCTTGGTGAGGAAACATACCCTCGAAATCCTACGCACTGAGGAGAAAAAAATTCAGGAAGCTGGACAAATTTTTCGGCGAAATTGAAAAATTTCAAATCGTTCTAAAAAAATTATTTTTGGTTTCGAGGGTCAAGTACAATTATTTTTGGTGAGGAGACATACCCTCGAAATCGTACGCACTTCCGAGAAAAAAATTTCTCACTTCCCCCTTGTGTTAATTTGTGTAACCTGATGGTAATGGGGAAAAATGGTCCGAAAAACTACATGGATGTGAGGTCTGCTCGTATACCTCGTCTGTGGTTTGTTACTGGAATAAAAGTGTGTCCGTCTCTGCCGGTTACGTCGTCAAGCCCATTGTTGGCGAAACGACAGAGTTCACAGCAACAGCTGTTATCGGTTGAGGACGTCTTTTTATCAGGAACAAAGAACGAACATGCGAAGGATCGAATACATACTCTGGTGCTTACTACAGACGCGAGAGTCTTGCCGAGGTTGTCCCCCGTGGTGGGCTGTTGGTTCGTCGTGGGTGCAGAATTGGGTGCGGAGGGCGCGGACGTTGGCGCGCCGGGACTATGACTATATTGCAACGACGCCGGGGATGGTGCACCGGTACCGCTGTTCGCCGCGACTGCGACGCTACCCCGGAATGTGGACATTGGTGGCAGTGAGGCCGCACTGGTAACCGCCGAGCCCAGAATCGGCGCCGCCGGTTCTCCATTCGGCGACATAGCCGAGTACGCCTGTAAAAATCGAGTCTATTAACCCTAAACCTACCGCGAATGGTCAAACGACCGTTTCTAAAATTTCCTCTAGAATTTCTAACACACGATATTACTTTAGCGCCATTTAACTTCACGACTTTTCTTATAGTATGGACCTAGTTCACTATTGTCACGCGCGCGAGTTCATTGAACCCAACGAAACGTAAACAAACGCTTCGAACCCTCGTATCTCCGTAACTAGCCACCGCATCGACTTGAAACTAAAATCGCCGTATCTTCGAAACTAATAAAGCTATCGACTTGATCGAACACTCGTTCTAATGATCATATTATCTACTATAATTTTGTCTATCTTCTATGTTTATTTGAAAATTTACTTTGACGATATATACCCAGAGAAGCTTGAGCAATTCTTACTGATCGTACGACTAGTCTACGATAAAACTGGACCATAAATTATATAGTTAAAATCGTACTTGACATGTTGTAGAAAAAGAAAATTAACAGTATCTAAAATGTAGCAACGTGAAATTATTGCTTCATATTTGGTGTATCGAAATAGATCATTTGAGGGACCCAGGGTATATATCACGATTATCCAACGACAGCAGTTATTTTGGTTACCTACATGGGGGTTAAAACACAAATATAAAGGAGCCTTTACATAACGAGACTTAGCAGTAGGTTTGAGATCACAGGGAATCATATTGGTCAAAATTCCACCACAGGCTTGTAGTTTATGTTCATTTCTTCTCACCACATTGCTACAAATGGGAATAGATAACGGAAAGAAGACACGAAATAAACCGAATCGACCCGGTGGTCCAACGATAGATCACTACAGTGCGTTAATTCGCATTTACCGTAATGTTTGACTGAAAATCGTAAAACACTAGAGATCTCTCTAAAAACAAGAACACGTCGCGTTCCAACTTGAACGATAAAGACGACGAAACGATCGTTGCGAGAGGAAACAAAGTGCACGAAGTGACATCGCGAGTTCCGCGAGACACGGATTGGCTGTCGAGCGGCTGACGGCTGGTACGACCTTTCGAATCCAACCGTCCGGGTTCATAATGGACCAGGCCAGAGCATCTTTGATATCGGATACGGTTAGCGGCGTGTAGCCACGTACGCTCGCACCTACTGAAGCTCGCTCGTAAAACGTCTAATTTTAAGCGTCGTCTCGGCCCGAACAGCGAAGAGTATTTATCAACAAATTAGAGGGAGTTTGCGTGCCCGACCGCCATTCGCTCGGCCGGCTTCACGACCGTGGAGCGCCGTTAATTGTTCGTTTTACGAACGGAAGAACGAGGCGATAACTAGCGACGGGCCGGAGAGGCCTTGGTTTTTCGGCTATCGAAGACCTAGACGTCTCGATGCATGGGACGAGCTCCAACGAAAGTGAGCTTCGCCGGTCGGGGCAGCTTCTCGAAAGAGGGGATCATTAAAACCGCAGGATCGTAAATGTTTAACCTTTCGACCCAGAGGAGGTCTCAGGCTGGTTCGAACGGTCCGCTCCGCGTCTTTTGTAGATCGTTCACCTCCCCATTATGCATAACGCGCCGTCTCCCTTCGACGATCCGGTTTTAGACGCATCTCGTTCCACGCCAATCGACGGATTCTGCCGCGAACGACGGCCCAACGACGCCGCGCGATCTTCCGAGCATCCCTTTATCTCCGAATTCACCGTGTCGATTCTCGTTCGCACGGAATCGTTCATCGACGTCGAACGTGCTCGCTGGGTCTAAGGGACCATAGAAGGGAATTCAGGGTGCCCCGAGAACCAGTAGTATTTCGTGGTAACCATGAACAGCGTAAATCAAACGAAGGCTGCACTTGACTAGAAACACCGAGTAGCGGGAGGGTCGTTCTATATATAGAAGCCACTGAGTCATTTGACGTTGCTCCGAGTGTACACGGAGCACTGTCAACAGTGTCTCTCAACCACCATCGACGCGAGCCTGGACGAGACAACGGGTGGCCGGAAACGAGACAGCCACCGGAGATCCGTCGAGTGGCCACCTAGATCACGACTCGTCGAAGAGGATTAAAGTTACCAGAGTTCATCTAGTCAAACTCTCTGGGCGCCGACAGTGTCAAACGAATCGAACGTCTTCTCGAGAGTCGAAGACATGGTCGCTGACTGAATCCACGACGCTGCAACGGGAGCGCCTAAACCGTGATATCCCACATTTTCGTCGACTTTTCCTCTACCCTTTTCCTTCTACGAGTGCAAATATATCGGACGCTTTGCCAAGTTCTGGCGATGTTATATGAAACGAAAGCATCGATCCCCCTTCGGCGACGAAGGGTTTTAATCGAACGACTCCGTCTCGTCGAGAGAGAGAGAGAGGGGAGGGGGAGGGAACATTCCTAGTGTCCATCTCAAAGTTCCAGGACTGTCGGATACGAAGGAACGAGCGAAGCAGGGAGTGATTGATTGCTGTTTGTCGCGTGACCAACGAGGGTGCTCGTACGAACGAGAGAACGAAAAGGGAGGAAAAGATAAGAGTCGCTTACCATGGGGTCGTGGGGTAGGTGCATGGGATAGGCTGGCTGGGCCAGGTGAGGGGGTGCATATCCGCTGTACGGGGGCTGAACGCCGCCCCCGCCGCCGCCACCCGTCCATGGGTCACCAGGACCCGTTCCTGCAGCATTCCCATCTGCAACAGGAAAATATTTCATTAATTGGATTTAGAATAGGTCTAATACACTCTGCAGCAACCAAGAAGCCCTAAATTATGTAATAACTTGGACTAAAGATGTTTATGCATTTAGGGGTAATTTTATCTTACAATTTGCCTTTTTAATTTTGTGTCATTTATTGTTAATTCGCGATAGTTTCTATTTGTGTTCGTTTTCTTTGAATATATTATTCATAACGATATCAGTGTCTTGATAATATTCAGAGTTATACCGATCATATAATAAGAAAATTTTTTTAAGATTTACAAACATTGTCTACATTATTATCTGTTAATAAATTCTAGGTTCAATGAAACGTCAACCTAACATATTCGATATTTAATAACTCCTCTAACGAAACAAATTTTAACAGAATATAAGATTACAATCTGACTCGAGTGGATTTTAACCTGTTCCTGCCACTCTGTAAAATTTACGAAATTCGGTAAAACTAAAATTTCTCTACACAAAAATCTATATCTATACTTGAAAACTCGAACTGCGTCCGTAGAGTTTCGTTGCCAGTCGCCCCTAAAGCAACAAATAGTAACACGTGGTGTTCAGTGACCAGAGAATGTCGCGCACGTGCTCGATCAATGTCCACCGTCGAATCGAGTCAAAAGACACGTACCCACCGAACTTGGTTCGAATTGCCCGCCATTCGATATTATTGGCCAATGACGCGGGGAGGGAGAAACAGAAAACGTTCCGTTAAATTCCTCGAATACGATTCCCCCGAAGCTCGATTCCGCGTTTAGTTGCCACCGGTTTCACCTCCCCCGGCGTAAATAACATTTCGTCCAGCGCGAAAGGTAAGCTGGAGCCTCGCCAGACCGCCGATCTTCCACGTTCGAGGGGAACACCCGGTATCGGGGGCAATAGGCGGGCACGACGCGGGCCATTATTTCAGTTGAAAACAACAGCAATAAGCTTCGGGAACGTATTTCTTGATACTTTTGCTTGATATAATTCCGCGCACGGGGTTTCCACCGACGAGCAGACTGAAACTAAGCCAAACTACTCGCCCGTTCCTACCCGACTACCCGGCATTCGATGTCTGATAAAACTTTTTCGCCCATCCTACGCTCCCCCACCGCCTCCTTTATAAGCTATTCCGCTCGCCTACCGGGTGTCACGAGCCGAGGAAACGCGTTCCGAGGTGCTGGCCAACGAGTCATCTTACCCTCTGATCTTTAATAACAACTTTACCCCCGGAAACTTTACCGATCTTATTGATTTACCGTCTCGGTAATCCGTCCGACAAACTTCAGATACGCTTGTTCAATTTCCTGCTCGTTTCCACGATCCTCTTCCCACCCCTTCGAGACGTGACTCGAAAAATTCGACGACGAACAAACCGCCCCGACGTTTCCCAAAAATCGTTCCCACCTGCTATTCGCCAACGATAATTACGCTATTTTTAACACGAGACCAGAATGATCTCTTCGATCTGTCTTCCATTGGAAGTTCGAAAATGTTCGAATAAATAGGAAGTGTGCTAAAATTTAATCAGATTGTATTTATGCAGGGTGGTCTATGCTACTTGTGCATCTCTATAACTTTCAAACTATGGATTGCACTAAAAAAATTTGTATAAAAAATTAAGACGAAAGAGTCAAATTACTCATCCTGTATAAATCCCCAGTTTTCTTATACAAAGTTAACAGATTCTACATGATCTATACGTCCGTAAGATCTATTGTACGTCTACAGGTTCTATCATCGCGAGAACTTGAACGTAGGTCTAACAGGTTCCGAGCTACCTTCGAGCAGCCCGACCCAGTTTCTCCTGGATCTAAGATCTATTATGTCTAATCTGCGGTGGATCGAAGTTCTGCTCGGTTGAAAATTTGCTACGCACACACGGTTCTCGGTGGCAACTCTCGCTGAAACTAGAACTAGTTACGCCTATACCCGCGACAGATGGATTGCTAAACCCAGAAGGATTGCTAAACGCGGATAATCGAATAAACCTAAGGCTTATTAAGTCACGCGCCGGACCTAGGCGTCGGGTAGTTTATAAAAGCTTCTTTTGTTAGTTTTCGGTGCCCGAGACGCGTCTGTAAATTTTCTGACGTCGTTCTCGAAAACACCGCGGCCAGTAAACAAACAGAACGCGTCTCGCCGATCGCGAGCATAACGTCAGCATGGAAGAAGTCGAACGCGCGAAATAGCATCACGACGTAGATTTCGCAACGCGATTAAACTATATGTTAACAAGAGAGAGACAGTCGACGAAGAGGTATGGAGTTTATTGTGCGTTTGTGTTGGCGCGCGTCAATGCAAACTTTCACGCGTGCAATTTCTTCCGTTCATTTTTTTTTTCTTTTTCTTTTTTTCTTGTTTCTAGTAACGCCGTTCGCGAACAAATAACGAGAGATTGTTATTGTTTTTACGCGCGACAGCCAGAACGACGAATTTTACGAGCGGCCGGTAAACAGCTGAATATTACTGCGATCGTAAACTCCCTTTTATCGTTCGTTCGAATCGTTACGCGATTTCTAGCAGATATAGATCCACACGCGCGATCCAATACCAGAATCGGGACATCGTGCTGGTTGATCGCTAGATTGATCGATCCACCGGCACCGGCTAGACGTTACTTTTAGTTGCATCCGGTAACGAGCGGCCTAGATTTTCAACTTACGTTCGATTCCAGTTTAAGAGACGCAATAGGGGTACGGAGACTCGCTTTTGTTTCGAGTGCTTCGGATGGATCACGATAGAGGGGCCATAGCTGACGTTTCGTAATCCTTTGACAATTGGTATATCGTTCTCACACTCTTCAACTTATCGTACGTTCGTAATTTAAGTTTTTGTAAATTATTTTGTACTTGTTTGACTCTCTTGATGGGCTCATCTGCAATGTATCGCCCTTTCCATGCGTTGGCATGATCTGGAGTGAACTATCGCTCCAATCTTGAGACTATATTACTTATTCTAGCTTGCACATAACTTGGCTTCACTTATCGCTAGACTGCGGATGTTTATGCATTTATGGGAAATTTTAATTTTCAAAAAAGTACACAATTTAGTTAATATACAAGAATATAAGAATTATTATATCTAGGGGTTGAGACAACCCTCTAAAAAGCTACAATGTCATTAATTTTATTAATAAAAATATGAATTTGCCTGAAGATCCGCAGTCTACTTATCACCTATCTTAATTTGGACTCTATTAACAATTTCATCGTCAACAATCTAGCTTGACTTGCATGAAACATTCTGGGTTATTGTCTATTCTAACTTATTCCATACCCAATCATTACATTTCAAACTATCAACTATCTCTTATCCAGTCTAGACAGAGTAAATATCGTCCATTCTAATGTTAGTTTGATATGTCCATCCTAGCTTGGTTACCTATTCCATTAGGTAATCCAGAAAGTTCGTGCTGTCATTTCGACACACGATGACCAGATGGTTCGTTATCTTCCATTATTTTTATACATCGAATGGCTAGAAAATCCCGAAAGGCGACAATTTATACGATAAGTTCGTCCTCTGCATACCACTGTTACCAAATTTTGTAACCCGGAAAACTCATACGGTATTTCAAAGTGATTGTGTAAGGGAACGTACTAGACAACAGTGTCTCAACAAATTTAGAATAGGGGATGATAAGAAAAAATTCCAAATTATATAAAATACTATAAAATGCTCGTAGCAAGCATTCGAATTAATAAAGAAACAGTTTGCATCCATCTACAGACAAAATAGAAAAATTGTATACAGGGTGAGGCACAAATTAGCCCCCGCGAATTACAGACATCCTAGCTGGAACTCTATCACCTATTCTACAATTGTCACGCATTCTAACTTGATCTCTATCATCTATTTAATCCTCATTTCCTACTTTAGCGTGTATCATATCAATCATCCTACTTTGAATCATGGCCTGCTCTACGTTACAATATCGTCTATTCTAATTTTAGTTTAATATATTCATCTGAAATCAGCTACTCTATATTTGACTGTTACCTATTCTATCTTATCATCTCTCAGAATTTATATCATATCACCTACCCGATCTTATCATCTATTTTATTTTAAACTATACAACCTCTTTCATATACCCTACGTATCATCCATCTTAATTTTCTCGATACCTATAATAGAAACTAGTTTCAAACTAGCAAAAGTTTACGTAAAATTAACACTATATTTACAGGTATTATTTGTAACACCCGTTTCTATTGGAACCTTCTTCTTCCTTTTTAATTAGCACCTGCGTTCGTATCATCGAATTAATTAAATTTAACATAAATTGCTAAAAAATAATATTACAGTTTGTGTAATTTTATGTATGAAGTTTGAAATGTGTAAAATTGACGGTTCTGATCAATTTAGTGACAAGAATGAAAGATTCTGTCAGCTTACCGATATAATAGGGGTCTCCGTAGAGGGCTGCAGCCTTGGGGGAGGTGTATCTCGGCGAGTCCTGGCCGAATTCGTCCGAGCCGTACTGTAACAAAGAAAAACGAGAACGTTATTAACGACGGAGTAATCGAGCGAGCTGCTGGTTCAAGAGGTGAGACGACGGTGAATGAAGCGTATCCACGATTAAACGGCGCGATTCGCCTCGGAACAGAAGTCCCGGACTATTAACGCGCGCATTGCAATTGCAGTTTCAGAGCAACACGTTGCAACGGCAGAGCGACTATCTGAATGACGTCAGTGTTTGTTGGAATGCCAACTATCGCCTTTACGACACGACGGAAATGTGTGTCGACGAATTGTATGTCACCATGTTCCCAGAACCATGGTTTTCCAACCACCGACGTATATTTTTCAAAATTGATTCACAAGAGACCCGTAAATTATGCACATTCACTTTGACGAACTATTTGGTTGGTTCTACTTTTGTACTTTAACCCCTTGACGTACGATTTAATGTAATTTTAATACTATTAAATTTGGTGTAACTTTGTTTGTACAAGGAATGGTCACGAAAAAGAGTAGATTTGTTTTATTATTACCTTGTGAATGTAAAAATGTGTTGATTTTAATTTATAAGACTCGATGACCAGTGAGTAGACTCGTAATTGTGAAATTTGGCGTCAAGAACTTGTGATGTGTCAGACTCGTCATTGTATGGCAAGGGGTTAAAGGGTAAATCGTCTTTAGATTATAAAAGACGTCGGAAAAATATTCAAATAAATGTTATAGCATCCTGCAATGAGAAATTAAAATTGAAGGTAGAGAACTTAGGTCCTTCCCTTGCTAGACAGTATACAGTTGACCTAACGCAGACCGGTTTAACCACACCCTACAGAACTGAACCTTTGGCCGGAAAATGGATCATTTACCGATGGTTAACGCATTTGCCACCACGGGTTGCGAGTATGTGACGCGCCGATTCTCATGACAGACTAACGTAACGCAATGAAACATAAACTGTTGTCCAACATCACATTATGTGAGATATAGACTATTCAATTGTCCTATTAAAGATATTTTATTTGTACATAAATGAAACCACATTTAAAATCGAATAAAATTTTCTAACATTAATATATTAATAAAAAACTACAATTTTTTGCTCACATGCATTGTTTCTAAGATAATAATAGTTAACGTAAACCTCGTTGCAACGCAGGAAACACTTATGTTCCATAAAATATATAAAGATCGTAATATTCTACTATTCTTAATATAAATACCAAATAAAACGAACGAAAGTAAGATTATTAAAACAATGATCAATATGATAAAATTGCAATTTAATCGCTCGTAAGTGTATAATTACGGGTAAATAAATTTTCTGCTGGTTAATTTTTTCCACGTCGATAAAAATGTGACCGGTCGAACCGGAAATTTACTGTAGATCTCTCGAAGCGAACTTTATTATTAAAATATAATACTGCAATTAAGTAAGAATACATAATAAAGTTTTATTGGATAATCGAGATTGATTAATCTCTTCACGTCCTTGGCCACATATATGGACGTTTAGTTTTTTTTTTTATAATTATAGTCACTGTAAATAATAAATAGACCCCCCCAAAAAAAAAAAATCGTCCCTGAAGAGATTAAACAATCAAACGCTTGATTCTTGATTTAACATTTTGACCACCAGGTCACCCATATATCGCTTGACAAGAAATTGCAATGGTGGGAATTAGCAAAATAATTTTTATTAAAAAAAAAACATGAAGGCCGCTTCAATTTTTTTGACACAAAATGTATAATTTTTGTGCATCGATTAAATGCATCTTTGTATTCTCTTTAAAAAAAAGTGAGGCCTTATGTGAAAAATTGACTAGTTGAGAAACTATGATTTTCGTTCCGAATTCCCATTTGCGCGACACGCTGTGCGTCGACGCGAAACAATGGGAACGGAAGCGAAGGAAGAGTGGGCGGGCCGTTCGAAACCCAAAAATCCCCGGCGCAGTTCGCTCTTACCATTCTGTAACTGCCGTAGTCCGCAGGGTAGGCAAACATATCGCCAGCGAGCGCAGGAAACCGTCGAGAGGAAGTCAGATCGCGTCGCGGGACAACATAACCGGGGGATCTACGGCCGGGGTACGGCCACGGGGATGGAAAGTGCCGCGGGAGGGGTGACTCGCGGCAGCATACCCTCGTCCCAATTTCGCCGTGATATATGTTAAAATATTCCGCGCCGCTTCTCTTATCCAACCGACGGGAGCTCCTCCGTTACCGCCGCCACTGTGCCGAAAACTTTTGTCCGCGGTCTCCTCCCCACTGATCCTCCGCCACCATCACTGCCACCACTACCACCACCTGCTACCATCGACAACGAAAAGTGCCACGAAACGAGAGGAACAACCAAGTTTCGACTAACGCGAGGACTATGGCCGACCGGGGTTTCGAATTTCACGGCTTCGTGGGAGCGTGAAAGAATCGCGTTACTTCGAACAACATGCGAGGACCCGAGACCACCCTGTAGCGATCCCGATGAACTTTCGACTACATTCTTTTTAACTAATTTGCTCGATCGATTCTACTTTCAACTTTTTTATATATAAAGTCGATGATCGAATAGTAATACTGCTGCGAACACTTTGCTTATCGAATGATGTAAACAGAGGACACCGGTAGACGAGAAGTACAACGATACCGTTCCCACGAAGGGTGACGCGAGACTGCGAGCGGTCTGGCTGCGCAACGAGACGCGACGATTGACGATTGACCGGCCGAGTAGTGGGGATCGACGGGAACCAATGGGGGAACGGTTTGCTACTGAGAGGCTAACTTGTGTCTAGATCTGTCCTCTCGATAGCCTGAACGCTGAGATGGGTAAAATTCTTATCTAGATACTCGTTTCGAATAACGAATTAAACACACTTTTTTCGACGATCATACCCATATACACCTGGGCCTCTTTTCGAGAAAATATAGCTGTACCGTGCGAAAAAATGCGCGGAAGATCGTGTAACAGAGTCGTACGATTTAAAGAATTTATAACAAACTGACACAACTGCACTGTAAAACAAATAAATTTCTTAAAATGAACTGATGCTGTTTTGCATCTCTTTGCAAACAAATCTTATCTTTCTGATTGTGTTCTTTTCAATGTACGCATGTTTCATCGTAATATGACGAAATAAATAGCGTCGATATTACTGAAGATGACGTTCGAAAGATTCTTTACAGTTCTGAACTAATTGTATGGCTCTGGCTGGAAACAGTAGCAAAGTGCAAATTGGCACGCGAGCCAAAATGGATTTGACATGCCTGCTATGGAGTTACTCATTCATCATCTACAGTGTGATTCAAAAATTCTATTACAAATTTCATCTATGTAATTCAATCCATCATAACTTCTTCGATTTTTCACTAAATGTGATTCTTTTGTTTTGCTCTTCTCTCGTTTCTCTTTACTTTACGTAACATAATCGTGTATCGTGTATTTTATTACCGTATGATACACCTCACCGTTCCTTCAACAGCAAGAATTTAAGATTAAAGTTATTCAAAGTTGGACGTGGAAACCTTTTCTTTTTATTATATACAAATTCTTGACAAAATAGATAATAACTGTTTTTGACATATGTCACACATATAATTGAAACTATGTATATTTTTTATTAATATAAAAGGATAACTAGTAGACGAATCCTGTTCGTCCAGCTCCAGATAATAAAACGAAAAATATTGTGTGAATAAAATTTCTATTTTCAAATATTACTTCCTATACGCAAAAAAAATTAAAAAATAGCTAATAACAGTATCATCTTTTGGATACACGTAATCTCAAGATTCATGTCCTTCGTTGAAGGGTTGAAGGGAACGGTGCACGGAAAGATGACACGAAATCTAATCCCCAAGAACAAAAGATCTTGGGGAATGTTTACGGTGCATCCGTATATGGCGAAGGAGGAACGGGGTACATAATTGCAGGCGATAAATGCGACGAGTTTATCGCAGCGGCAGTCGATAATGGGCTTACAAATACGAACGTCTGTCCGGAGGGTGGGGGTACGAGAAAAAAAAAACCGCTGCTAATCACGCGATAAACGCCCGGTCTCTGGACCTATTAATTTAAATGAATTGCTTTGACATGGGTGGCTCCGATACGCCACCGCTCGTTCGATTTCATCTCCTCCCATTTTCGAGTCTTCGACCTCGATTTCGAGTTTCGTTTACGCTGCAGATTCGGGGCAGTCACGATCGCCGATCGATAGACGCAACAGTATCTGATTTAGACTGTGAAACGCCTAAATTATATACAAGACTTAAATAACAGAATGCTTAGGTTGCAATCGACTATGAAATACTGAATTTATATTACGAAACATCTGAGTTTTATTAGATCGATTTGAAATTATACTGACTAGAACAGGAATTAGACCCAAATAGTAAGATATTTAAGTTTCAAAGTACCTGGACCGTGTTGCACCAAATCCACAATGTATATAAATTGCACTAGGTCGGAATAATGAGATATCTAGGTTGTAGGAGATCAGGATTGAGACGTGCCTAGGTCGTACTAGATCTAGACTCCAAGGTGCTTGAGTTTTACTAGATTTGTGTTAGATCTAGTTCATGAAATACTTAAATTATACTATTTAGATAGAAAGATCATTCATTATATGATGTGATACTAAAACAAAAAGGTCTGTAGTGTATCTAGGTACTACTAGATCTAATCTACGTGGTATTTAAGTCACACTACATTAAAATAACGAAATATATGCCTAGATATCGAGAGGCCTAGGAAACCTAGATCAAACTACGTTAACGTGTCTAAACCATATGCACCATTTTGAAAAATCAAAATTTATATACACAAATTATACAGATTTTCACTGTTCAAGAGGGGGGGTGAGATGCAGATTAAATTTGCACAATTTTCTAATTTTTTTTTACTAAATCGACAAGTTAAATATGTTCCCATAAGAAAAGATAAGAAAATTCCAAGTTGATTGGTTCTCGAATATAAATACGAGTGCAAAGGGTTGATAGGTACACTGGAAACGATTCGATCGATCTGACTGATCG